CTCCTCCTCCTCCTCCTCCTCCTCCTCCTCCTCCTCCCTCCTCCCCCTCCCCCCCTTGTCCCCTTCTCTTTGTAGATCGCTCCCCCCCCCGACGCACCCCCGCCGGGCCAGCCAGGCTTTGCAGGATCCTGCAAGATTCTGCAGGATCCTGCAAAGCCAGCCCGAGCCAATGCCACCCTGGCCTTGCAAGCCTCCTGCAAGATCTGGGCGCTCTGGAGAAACCATAGGGTACGGATACCGCTATTCCCCAGACCTTAGTGGGCCCTGGAAACGACAGGGCCGTTTTTTTTCACCGGTTCCGTTGCCGTTTTTTTGCCGGTTCCGACGCAGTTTTTTTACCGGTTCCGTCGCCGTTTTTTGACCGGTTCTGGCTCCGGGTCCAATCCTGGAGCCGTTTTTTTGACGTTTCGGGTCGCCGTTTTTTTTTGCCGTTTCCATTTTCAAGGGACACTTTTTCGGAAACGGTGAAAAAACGGCCCTGCCGTTTCCGGGGCCCACGAAGCCCCAGACCTCTCCCGAGGTGCGGTCTGACAAGGATGTCCAGGCGGATCCAGCCTTGGCGACGAGGGCCTCCCAGGAGGTCCAACAGGCGAAAATGAGGCAAGGATAGCAGCATTGGTAGTCGCCAGTCGGAAGAAGTAAATGGAAACATGCAATAGGGAGGCAGATAAAATAGATTGGCTTCGGGCCCGCCCAAAGAAAACATAATACAATAAGCGCATATCGACTCTTGAACCGGGAAGGCGCTTGAAGCAGAGGGGTATGTGGGTCTCCAGTAGAACCTCCTTTCAACGACCTGCGTGTACCTTTTCCTCCTCTGGGTCTCTACCAGCTCGATCGGGGGGGGGGGGGGGGGGGGGGTGGGGGGGGGGTCGTGGAGCTCAGCAGAGGCGAAGAAACTCCAGGGCTCCTGGTTTCCATCCGGGGAGCAAAGCCCAGACCACCGACGATAGCTTCAAACGAAAGCAAAACTAGGATGTAAACGGGTATCGACACGTATTCTAGAATCTCTGAAATCCCGCGGCACAGGAGGATGTCTCGGGCGCCGCGGCCTTCTCAGAGCGCTCCGGAACGCCCTGATCACGCTCTAGAGCGCTCTGGAACTGATCTATCCTCGCTCCAGCCCCGCCCGAGATGTGTTGTTTTCTTAACCCCCGGGGGCCCGTGGAGAGGAATCCCATCCCTCCCCCGTGGTTCTTCAACCCGGGTCCACGTTCGATGGCCTCCGATCGAGACAACAGTATTGGGTGCTCTGGGCAGCGGAGCCGAAACAAAGAAAAACCGAAAGCAGGAGGGTGCGCCGCTGGATCTCCCCAAGGGGTGGCGGGTGGGACCCCCCCCCCTTTCCCGATCCGTCGTCGGGGACCCCCCCCCCACCCCCCCTTTCCCGATACGACGTTGGGCTCCCCCCCCCCTTTTCCCGATCCGTCGTCGAGGACCCCCCCCCCTTCCCCCCCTTTCAAAAGGGGAGGGGTCCGACCCCTCCCCCTTCCCCCCTTTGGCCGCCAAATTCGAGCCCCTCCCCCTCCCCCCCTGCAGGGCGCCCCACGGCTCCGGAACCTGACCCCTGCCACCCCTAACGCTAATCCTCACCCTTACCGTAACCCCCAACCCTAACCCCGAACCCTAACCCAAACCCCAAACAGTGCTCACTACTCATTACGCATTACCCACTACCCACTACTCACTACTCGCTACGCACTACTCACTTCTCACTACTCACTACGCACGAGTCACTACCCACTGCCCACTACTCACTACCCACTACCCACTACTCACTAGTCCCCACCCCCTACTCACTATTCACTACTCAATACTCACTACTCACTATCCACTACTCGATATTCACTACTCACTAAACACAACTATTCACTACCCACTAAGCACTATATCACAAACCACTACTCGCTACCCACCAACCGCTATCCACTACTCACTACTCATACTTCACTACTCACTACTCGCTGCCCACAACTCACTACTCGCTACCCCCTAGTAGCTACACAGTAGTCGCTACTTACTGCTCACTACTCGCTACTCCCTACTGTTTACTCGATACCCAATATGCACCACCCACTACCCACTACTCACTACGCACTACGCTCCCACTACTCACGAGTCACTACTCCCTACTCACTACCCACTACACCTACTCACTACCCACTATTCAATACTCAATACTCATTACTCAGTAAACACGACCCACCGATCACTACTCAGTACTCACTGAATACTACACACTACCCACTATCCACGACTCACTACTGAGTACTCAGAATTCACTACTCACTACTCACTGCCCACAACTCACTACGCATTACTCGCTGCTCGCTACTCCCCACTCCCTGCGAAGTCCTCACTGCTCACTATACTCACTACTCGCTACTCCCTACTCGCTACCCACTAGGCACTAGTCACAAGTCGCTGCGCTACTCACTACTCACTATTCAGTACCAACTAATCACTGAACACGACCCACACCCCACTTCACACTAGTCAATACCCAGTGCCCACTGCGCAATATTCCCTACCTACGACGCAATACTCACTACTCACTACCCACTACTCCCTACTCCCTAATCACTAATTACAACTCGCTACTCACTACACACTATTCAATACTCACTACGCACAACTCACGGTTCACGACTCACGAATCACTAATCACTATTCGCCATTCCCTACGCACTACCCGCTGCCCAATATTCAATACCCGCTATTCACTTCTCACTACTCACTACTCCCTACCCCCTACTCTGTACTTCCTACTCGCTACTCACTACTGACTTCTCCCTCCTCGCTACTCAGTACTCACAGAGCACTATTCGCGACCCACTACTCACTAGTCGCTACTCCCTACTCGCTACTCGTTACCCACTGCCCGCTACCCACTATTCACTACTCACTACTCACTTCTCACTACTCACTGCGCACTACTCACGACTCACTCCTCACTACTCGCAACTATCTACTCACTACTCACTACTATCTACGCACTACTCACTATCCCGAGGCCAGACTTCCCCCCTTGCGGGAAAGGCCCCCGCCCGGCCCCCTGTTCGGCGCAAAGGGGGGAGGGGGGGGGGGGGTCGACCCCCCCCCCTCCTTTCCAGCGCCAAAGGGGGAGGGAGGGGGGGTCCGGACCCCCCCCCTCCCTCAAGGGGGTGGGGAGGGGGGGGGTCGGACCCCCCCCCTCCCTTAAAGGCGTCAAGGGGGGAGGGCGAAAATCTCACCCCCTCTTTGACGGGGGGGGGAGGTTCGGACCCCCCCTCCCTTTTCAACTACAGGGTGATCCACTGGCGCGCTTTCCGAAAGCAGCAACAGGGAACAACACATACAGTAACAAACAAACATGGAAGGATGACGAGGAGGACGGGGACCAAGCGGCGGCGGCGAACCTGTGCTGGGCCGAAGGCCGAACCAATCGAACTGAACCGCTTTCCGAGAAACGTCAAACATGTGCGATTCACCGGGTGCATGGGACAGCGTCGAACAATTGCTGGGACCTCTGACACCCCTGTCCTTGGCGGCGAAGCGATTTTTCAACACCGTGGACCCCCAATAGAAGCCTCGAGCCCTTCTCACGGTCGAGGGCCGCTGGGGCCCCGCGACGTCGGAAACCGCCAAGAACAAAAACGTTCCGCCGATCATGCACGATGCGATGGAGAGAGAAATAACAACGGAAACGCCGCGCGCAAAGGCGCCCGTACGACGCGACGCGCCCCCGGGTCAGCTTCTGCCTGGGCGGGCGCGTGGGTGCGCAAAGGCACGCGACACCCCTCCTCCATCCTCAACCTTCCTCCTCCTTCATCCGTCCTCTTCCTGCCATCCTTCCTTCCTTACTACCTCCTCTTCATCCTCCTCCTGCTCCTCCTCCTGCTCCTGCTCCTCCTCACTTCCTGTTCCTGTTCCTGTTCCTGCTCCTGCTCCTGCTCCTGCTCCTGCTGCTGCTGCTGCTGCTGCTGCTGCTGCTGCTGCTGCTGCTGCTGCTCCTCCTCCTCCTCCTCCTCCTCCTCCTCCTCCTCCTCCTCCTCCTCCTCCTCCTCCTCCTCCTCCTCCTCCTCCTCCTCCTCCTCCTTTCTCTCGCAGCGATCGCTTCTGCGGTTCCTTGTCCTCGCCTGCTCGCGGGCGCGTCGGCGCGCGCGCGGTGGGGGCGCGGGCCCCCCGGACGCCGACGGAGGGTCGCTTCCAGGGGGGGGGAGGGAGGCCACCGTCCTTCCTCATATATCTTGACGGCCAAAAGGCGGAGGGAAAGGGGAGGAACGGCCTGGCCGCTCATGATGTACTCGATGTAAACATGGAATCTTGTCGGTCGCGTAGCACTCGTAGCACGCTTGCCCATAGCGCTGCGCCTGCCCTTGATGTTTTGTCGACAGCACGTTGCGCAAATTGTATCATCTCTGCGGCTTCCGCCGGATTGTCGCCGTCGCTCTGGTGACCGTGGACTCCCGGCCGTCCTGCCACCAGGCCGTAGTCTGCAAGGTCTCTGTATTACTACGCAGTCGACGTACTTCTTCCGAGTTTCGCCTCGTCACGACCACCTATGCATGGTGATCGTTCGCTTGGTCTCCTTGGGTTCCTGTAAATGTGGCGGTACCCTTTTCCGCCTCGTCGTTGTCAACAGCCAAGTCCCAAATCGTGTTGCTGATGTTCCGGGCTGGGTCTGTGCAGTTGTTATATTTAAGATGTTGCACCTGCTTCTCCAGAACATTTCAGAGATGTGTTTCCGCGTGCTACCCCTGCAAGCTGCATTTATTGAGCCGAGGCCTGTGGCTCCGACAGCGTAGCCAACCCGTATCATAAAGATGCGGGACAAGGATGCAAGGGCCTTGGGCGCCCATTTCGAGGCTTCTCGAGCGGGGCGCGGCCAGCGAAAGTTGCCAGGGATGGGCCGAGGAGGCAAGAATGCCAAGATACCCTTGGGAAGGTTTTTTTCCCAAATTTTGTTAGAGATATGTTTCCGCGCGCTCCCCCTGCAAGCAGTTATTGAGCCAAGGCCCGTGGCTACGATCAGGGCTGTGCCCAAACGATGTTCTTCGTTATGGTTTCGTTATGGTGTTCGTTTGTCGCTGGGGACTTCCGAGCCTTCTGAGAAGGCCCGCCTCTTCTCAATTCCCCCCCAGGCTCGCCGCCGAAAAAATGCACGCGTCCGAACGATGCCAAATTTCCCGCGTCTTCCGCGCCGTAGATCCCACGTCTTGTATCTTCAGAATCAACAACCTCGGAGCGAGGACGCGCCATTAGAACACCTGGCCAGGTTGTAACGAAGAGCACCAGAACAGGCGTTGAGCGACGCTGCAGATTTTCCTGCACCTTGGAGGCACATAGGGCTCTGAGTTGGATGGACCTCGAGAACATGTGGTCAAAGGCAAATCCACTCAACATCGGCCCCCACCGGCTCTGACTGCAATGGTACGTCTGATGTCCTCAAAGCAGTGGAGAAGAAGGAGCACTATAGTTGAAAGAAGGCGCCGACAAGCGCACACTTGTTGATATGATGCAGAACATGCAATCACTTGTCGTCGCTGATGCACAAGATGCAATCAAATTATTGTTGCTGCTGGCGGCTGGAATCGTCGACTGCAAGCCACGCGGCGCGCCGCGGCCGGAAGACCGCCAGTTTGTAGTTGAGCACCCTGCGCGCCAAAGTGCAGAGTTGAGGGCGGTGGTGGTCGCGCCAACCACGCAGCGTGAAAGCGCCCCGTTCGGCCTGAGAGAGGTCGGCCGGGAGCGGTGGAAGTAAATGGAGCCCGTGCGCTCGACGAAGCGGCTCCGTGGTCGGACATTCGCGCATCGCGCGGTGGGCGTTGTTGCCCACCTGGCAGGCGGGGCAGGTGCGCGAAAAGCAATCCGGACGCAGGTGCGAAAGACGCACTGCGTTGGGCTCGGCTGCCATCGCGCACCTCTGTGCCAAAGCGAACCGGTCGTGGTCGGCCCCGGCGCGCTCGTTCAGCCGCTCGCAGAGGGTCGCGTGGCAAGGCGCTGGTACGCGGCCGGCGGCCTCCTTGTGGAGCGTCCGTCGGTGGCAATGTGTTCAAATCCATGCCCGCCATGCCTGGCGCACGTGGTGGCCCAGGTGTTCTTGGGGAAGGAGTCGAACGTCGAAAGTTTGATGGTCGAAATGGCACTTCCATGGACTGTCTGTGGGCTGCCAGAAATCGGAGACGACTTGCCGGATCCTGGCAGCCAGGCGATAGCTCCACGATCCGTCCGCGCGACCTCCGTGCTGCTCCTGCTCGTGCAGGTGGGCCCAGGCTCGCTCCATGGCGCGCGCGGTGTCCTCGCTGCACGCCGCCTCCACGAGACACCCGATGAGAACCGAGAGCTGCACCGCGAAAGGCTCCACGAACCATCCTTTGTCCGTGGTGAGCCAGAAAGCACCGCCGTGCCTCCATGCCCACTGCCCTTGTCTCCCGGTGATGGTCTTTTCTATGTCGCAGCGCATGCTGCGCAGGTCCGCGTCGCCGGCCATGACCCGCGGAGCGTCCCAGCGCCGCAAGGACATGGTTGCTCGAGCCCGGCAGCCTTGGCGATCCCGGCGATGCGTCGGAGTCGTTCCTGGAGCTCCTCTGCCCTCCGTTCGGCGCGCGGGCCGCTGCGGGGGTTGCGGGATCCAATAAGGTCGAAAACGACGCCTAACACCTCGATGTCGGTGTCGATGCGGTTGTCGGCGCGACTTTTGGCGAGGGGGGGGGGGGGGGGGGGCTGTCGGCGCGGTCGGCGCCGTTGGGAAGGGAGACCGCCGCCGTAGAGCCCTTCTTGGGATCTTCGCATTGCCCCGAAAAGCGGCCCAGACGTGCCGCCTCCTGGGAATAATGTCGGTCTGCCTCCAAAGAGTTGGTCAGGGCCGCCCTGTCGTCGACGTGCGCGTCGAAGTGCTGCTGGCCGTCGACTGTGCTCTCCAAGATTGCCTTGTGCGTGGCGGCGACCGCAGCCGCTCCCAGCGGAGAGCTCGGGTCGCCCTGTGCAAGACCGCTGTCTGGCGGTGGGGCGCGCATGGCGCACTTTCCACCGCGGAACATTGTGGGCTTGTCCACGTTCACGGAGAAGAGGAAAAGAGCGCGCGTGTCCGGCATGCCGCGAAGAACCGCCGCTCGCTCCGCCGAAGACGGGTCGATGTGATTGAAGCAGCTGGCCAGGTCACTGGCGCATGCAACTGTCGGGAGGTTGTCGGCTATGCGCGCGGCGACGGCGGCCTCGAACCGAAGCAGCTGCCCGACCGCGTCTGTAGATTGGACCCTGGTGGTCTAAAAACGGCAACGTTGAACAAGACACCTCGACAGGGCGCGCGCGACGACGGGGGCGACGGCGATTGGGCGCAGGTCCTGCGAGGAGATCTTCGGAATGAAGGTCGCGTTCTGCGCGCGGAGCGCGTCCGGCCAGATGCCCGCGCCCATGATCTTGTCAGCGAGGTCCGCCAAGTGCTGCCGCGCAGGCGTGGGCGTCGAGAGCAGGAAATCGGCGTCGTAGTCCGCGGGCCCGGCTGCGGTGCCCCGGCAACCACGTGCTGCCGCCATGAGGCCTGCAACGGTGAACCTGCCCCACTCGAGGCGCCGCTTTCCACCGCGCTCCGCGCGCGGTCGGACTGGGGCCGCGTATCTGGCGGCCTCGGCGAAATACTGGTCGAGGCTGGAGGTATCTGGGGAAGCGGCCATCTTGGCGCCCCAGGCGCGCTCGGCTGCGGCCGTGCTGGCGGCGCACCCCCCCGGAGAGCCGGCCCGGGGTTGGATCGGCTGCGGCCGCGGGGGGGGCGTTGGCTGCGTTGCGGACGCAGGCGGAGGCAGACGTCACGGAATGATGCTGCTGTTGGTGTCTCCACTCGTTCAAGCGGGACTGGATGACCTCCTCCTCGAAGGCCCGGATGGCCCGTCGAACGCTGCAGACGGCGTCGTCGTGGGTGGATGGGTGGGGAATGCAGCCGTCGGAAACCAGGGGGCCGAGGCTCTTGGCGAGGGAGGCGCTGAGTGCCGCGTCCTCGCCCTGGATGTTGCCGTACTGCAGGAAGCGCCGGTAGTCGCGTCGGAAGCGCCGTTCTGCGACTGGCTGTCGGTGCTCCTCGGTGTTGGCGTGGTCCGCGGCAGAGTTCCACACCTTGGTCCATCGCCGCGCGTCGTCGCCGTCGGGCCTGGTGAGGCTGTGCTGGGGGGCACCGGCGCTGAGCTCCAGGGTACCCGACCAAGCCTGCCAATGCGTGCTCGGGTCTTGTTCGGCCGCCGCCTCGGCGAGGCGCGTGGCGGTGGCCGCGCGCCCCCATGCTTCCAACAACAAGGCTTTGGAGGCGGGAGGTGCCAGCGGGTGGTGGCGTCGTAGGGAGGCGACGTCGGCGTCGGCGCCCGCGGCGAATTCCGCGCGGTGGCGGACGTGGTCGGATGGACTCTTGGCTGAAAGCTCGCCCGAGACAGGTGGGCCGAGCTTGGCATCGAGCGTCGTCAAACTGCGGCTGCGTGAATAATCGATGCACCTGCCGCCAGTATGCGTGGGGGCATCCAGGTGGCCCATAACTCGGTGGTCGATGGTGCAGTCCGCGAGGGAGGAATAGTCGTCGTCGTCGTCTGGCGGGGCATTCCAATCCGCAACCATGACTGCGGGTAGGTCGGCGGCAGCAGCGCGCACGGCGAGAGCATCTGCGAGAGCGGCCCTGCCGGCCTTCGATGCCCGCTTGGTGCCGGAGTGGCCGTGCACGGATCCGATGATCAAGACGTCCGTTGAGCCGGCGCGAAGCACTGCTGATGCTACCCGGCCTCGTAGGGAGGTGGGCCAGCACCATGGATCGCGACGCGTGCCTGCTGGACCGTAGATGGCCACGCCCGCTGTGTTCGGAGTGGTCGTGTGAGAGGCCCCTGCGAAGGCGTGGCCCGACCTGCAGCACGCGGATACGCGCTCCTTCGCACGCGTCTCGTCCCAGTAAGTCTCTGTGAGCACTACGACGTCGGCGTCCATGCGGGTCGCGTGTCGTAGAGCACTCCTGAGGTCGTCTTGGTTCGGGGCCACCTGCACGTTCGAGTGCCAGACCGTGACCGCCACCTGGCGGGCCCCTCTGTGGGGGGACGGGCCGATGTCGGAAGCTGGAGTGGGAGTGGTGAACTGCTGTGTGCGACTGTCGTCGCCTGTAGTGGTGGGTGCGTCGTGTCGGTGGTTCCCGCAACGGCGTCGGTGCGCAGGCGGGCCTGCAGTGGCCGCCTCGCCAACCCTGCAGGCGTGGGCCCACCAAGCCCGGGGCCTGCATGACCGTCGCGGGCACCTTCTTCACCTCAGAGAATGCGGCCTCCAGCGTGCGACCTTGGCCTTGAGGGCCTCGACGGTCTGCACTTCCTGATGTCGAAGGCCATGCTTCCAGAGCAACAGATGGAACTCCTGGAAGCTGATGGGTGCTGGTGCTTGCATACACGGGTCAGAAGGCGTCGGCACGCTTCATTTTCCGGTGGCAGTGCTTGCACTGGAACTTGTACCTGTTGACGCCGGACTCGGAGACGAAGTACGGCACGGTGGTGTCGAGGTCGTGGGCGGCGTTCTGGAGAGCCTCGGGGGCGCGAGCCATCCTCTGACGCAAGTTCCGCTCGCGCCCCGCCTGTATGGCCGCCTGGTTGTTTTTCTGCAGGAAGGCCGCCACGGTGCGACGCGCATCCGGGCCGAGCTTGTTGTCGGAGGCGGCCTGCTTGTACGTGCAGCCGCGGCAGTCGCGGCGGTGGTGGTGGAAGAGCTTGTTGGCGGCCCTCGGAACAATGCCTGCTGGTGGGACCCATCCACATCGATCGCATATGTTGCCGTCGCCAGGGCGAGCGTACCGATATCGCACGTTTCGTATGGTGTCGTAGGAAGCTTTGGCCGCTGGCGCCACCTCTTCTCTGGGGTGGGAGTCGAGCCAAGCAAGAGCGGCAACTTTAGCTTGTTGTATTGTGCCGGCGTCGGTGGGAGACGGCATGCGCGTAAGCAACTGCTGTGTCCAGTGGTACACGGCACTCTCGAAGTCCAGGGCGCCCTTCGTGCGTTCCAGCGTGGCCTCGGCGGTGGGGGCGGCGGCGGAGGCGCGGGTGCCGGTCGTCGGTGTTTTGCGTCGGAGGCGGAGGCGCGCCGTCGACGCAGTTGCTGCCTCACTGCCAGGCGCGGGTGCCCGACTGTCGGATGGGGCCGGGGCCGGGGAGGGCCCTGCCCTTGGAGCGGTGGCAGTCGTGGGCGGCGGTCTGCCCGCGACGCTGTCCATCCAGGAGGGAGGCGACAGCGCGGCGTCGTCGCGGTGGTATTGCTTCCGCCTTTTGCTTGCGGCGACGTTCGGGTCGTGGGGCGTGCCAGGGCCCATCCAACTCTGCAGGGACGGGGCCGCAGCCTCGCCGTGGAGGCGTGAGTCGCCAGAGCGGGACGGTGGGTCCATCCAGGTCGGGGCCGAGGAGGCGGCCTCGTCAGGGGCTGCCGGCAGGGCGTCGGAGGGTGCGGCGCCGCCCTGCCCCCTGCGTGGGAAGACGGACCCGTTGTCGGACAAGAGCGACTCCGGCCAGGACTAGTTGGCCGAGGGGGGTCGCACCGGTTGGTAGCGGCTGCCATCCCAGAAGATGACGAGGACGCCCGTGCTCGCGAAGTCTTTATGGAAGGTGCGCCAACTCCAGCGCTCGAGCGGCCCAGTGCGCCAGCAGACGCATACCGTGCGCTGCAGGACAGCGGCTGCGGCCAACAGCTGCAGCTCGTCGATCCATGTGGTAGTTTTGCGGCACTCGCTGATGCAGGCCACCCACGTCTGCGGCTCGTCGGGTTCGGGGGCGAAGACCTCCTCGTAGACGGGCCTGTGGGTGCATAGTTCAGCGACGGTCTTGGCCCGGAGGGAGCGGGCTTCCTTGAGCATTGCCTCAACCTCGATTTGTTCCTGGCACTTTTTGCGGAGGCGGTAAGCCGCGCAGAGAGAGGCGTACCCGCCCGCGCCCCGCCCGCCAGCCTCCACGGTGCACAGACAGGCGGAGGGCCCGGCTGCTGAGTCGAAGGTCACGCCGCCGTCAGCGGTGCGACGGCGTTTGGGGTCCTCGACGCCCTGTCGTGGAGGAGGCCGCTTCTCGCTGGTGCTCTGGTCCATGTCGCCCTCCTCAGGCTTGGAGTCGGGTGCTGCTGCTGCCCCGGCGCCCGGTGGTTGTTTTGTTTGGGTTCGCCGCCGTCTCTGCCTGGGTTCGCGGCGTTGGTCTGGCGGGGCTCCAGCCACGGGAAAACCGGCCTGGAGCGGACCTGCACGGTCGTGGGCTGAACGAGGGCCCGGACCGCCGGTAGGAGGCGCACGGTGTCTGAGTCGCCGAGGCTGTATATGTAGGATGTGGCGAGATCTGGGCGAGCTGAACACCGGATCCGCCAGGTCCCACCTCGCAACTGGACCTGCGCCACGGGTTCCGTCCACCCGTTGTCGGTCAAGAAGCTCATGAGGGTGTCCGCATCCCACCACTTGGGGACGGTGGCCCTCCAAATGTATGGCGGCGATGTCTTGGGGTCGCCGGTCTTCAAGAGGCCGAGACACTGGTCGCTGCCGCGTAACATCGGTCCCCAAACCTCTCTCGGGTTCCACTTGACGGACCCCAGATCAGTTCCTGACGGTCGAGGGGCCCGAAAACGGCCCCTCGAGGCCGAAGAATGCAACAACAACTCTTCGAACCTCGCCCGCTCTTCCTTCTCGCCAAAACCAGCGATGGGCCACCTGGACCACCAACCAACTCCAAACGTCGAGAATATTTCTGCACCTTCCGTGCCGCATCTTCCAGCGGAAAAATTGAACGCCCGGAATGGGTACGGAAAATGTGGATACGATGACCAACGACGATAGTTGTTCAAAACCGACGGCGGCCACTGTTGGGTGTCTCAAGTGGACAACGTCCTCGGCCGCGCAGAAAGCGAGTCCTGCTCAAGATGAACAGGAACTGCTGTTGGGCATCGTACCCATTCTTTCCGTACCCATGTCGGTCATGTAAAGGAGACTCAGCACCGGGGTGCCTTCTCACCAGGATCCCGAGGCGAATCCAGCGGCGGCAACGAGGGCCAGAGACCCAAACAAGACGAGAACGAGCGAAGGGTGGCAGTATATTGGTACCTCCCAGACATCCGACTGCTCCAATTTCTTACATGCGTGGGCCCTGGAGGTCCAGACCACTTCCTCAGGGCCGGTTTTCCGTCCCGAGTCGTTTAGTTGACGCTCCCGAGGCCCGGCGAGGGCCCCCAGAGGCTGAAAGCGGCCCCAAACCGCCTGCTCCAACTTGATTGGGAGCGTCGGATCTCTGGGCTTTTCCTCCTCAGGGGCACGGCCCTCTTCGCCGCCACCTCGCCCGGCCAGTGGCCGCCAGCGGTGCCCGCCCTGGCTCCAGCACAGGTGCCCCTGCGAAAGCCTGGGCGCACCCTTGCCCGAGCGGGCCAGGACACGGCGGGGGCACGGCCTCCGCGCAGGAGAGAGCGAGCGGGGGGCGGTTTCTTTGTGCTTGTCTCTTTTGATGGGGGCCCACTTTCCACCACCACTACCACAGGTAGGAGAGGGAGGAGGAGGAGGAGGAGGAGGAGGAGGAGGACTTCCTCGTCCACCCTTCTCCCCCGTTTTACATCTGGTTGTGGTGGCGTAGCATTTGATCATCATCTTTCATTTTGTCTTTCTGCACCGGTCCGCGGCCAAATGTGTTTGCTGCCACGCCCAAGTCGGCGATTCTTGTTGCACCAGCTCAGCACGCAACAGGCTTAGGAGGCCACGTGCGAACCCCTATCCCACCACCCAATGATTTCTAAGGAACGAAATGAACCCTACCTCCCCCCTTAGAAATCGTGAGGTGGGGTGGGATAGGGTTCGCATGTGGCCACCGGAAGCTAGCTCCTAATGTCCGAGCAGCGCAAATGGGGGCGGACCCTAGGACTCGAGGTTGGCCTCGCGAGCGTTCAGGGAGGGGCACGAAGTCCGGGCAGGAAGGCAATAGGCCACCGCCGCCGACGACGACGGCGACGAGGACGAACGGCGGCGGCGGAACGACACAACGACGACGATCGACCGCGGCGACGCGAGCGAAAACGACGGAGCAACGACGACGGCGGCAGCCGGCAGTACTCAGCCTCACGCCGCGCGCGAGCCTCAGTGCCGAGGAGCGGATACTACACGGGGGAAGTCAAAGGGAGGAAGAGCCTGAGGAGGGAAGCGAGCAGTCCTCCTCCACCTCCCTCCTCCTCCTTCCCCTCCTCCCTCATCCTCCTCCTCCCTCCTCCTCCTCCTCCTCCTCCTCCTCCTCCTCCTCCTCCCCCTCCTCCTCTTCATCCGCCCTCCTCTCCTCCTCCCCTTCCTCCACTCCTTTTCATGATATATAACCCCTCCTCGCCTGACCACCAGACGCTTCGGTAGCGAGGGCCGTGAGTTCTGCTTGAATTCCTGCAGCCCATGGCGCCGAAACTTAAACTTCAAAACTCTTACACGGATGGACGGGATCATTTTTCAAATGTGTCTCCCCTTAGCGAAGCACATTCGTCGTTGGGGGGGGGGGGGGGGCGTTTTTTACTTGTGGCTCTCGCCTGACCGTCTCAAACATTAGTCGTGGAAGCTTCCACCAGGTACACGGATGGAGGGGGTAGTGTTCTGCACATGGACCTCCCCCATAAGCTGCGAGCACCCGTCTAACAAAATCAGGTGGATGGATGGAGGTCGCTCTCACACTTTACCTCTCGCCTTAGCGCCGCACTCCGCGCAACTTCGTTTTCGAAGTCTTGAAAACTAGACGGGTGAAAGGGATCAATTTTGAATATGCGGTTCTCGTCTTCGCGGCGCGCGCATTCGTCTTTAAAGCTGCCAACAATCACACGGATGGAGGACGGAGCCTTTTCGAACGGATACGTTGCTTGCGAAGTCTTGTATTCTGGTTGCCAGAAAATTTCATGCGCGCCGCAGCAGCACAGGTGGAAGACCGCTTACCCTCTTGCACAGGGTGTCTAGAGCTCCGACCACTTTATTCCGCGCCGCACACCCCCCCTTCCCGCGTCCCCAGCGCCAGAGTGGGACCCCCGCGCCGTGGCTCTCTGCCCGGAACCTCCCCGCGTCCCCAGCGCCCCACCGGGGGCCCCGCCCACTGCCCCCTCCGCCACGAACGATTCATTCCGCGTCGCACACCCCCCCTCCCCCCGCGTCCCCCGCGCCACAGTTGGACCCCCGCGCCGTGGCTATCTGCCCCGAACCTCCCCGCGTCCCCAGCGCCCCAGCGGGGGCCCCGCCCACTGCCCCCTCCGCCACGAACGCTCTCTTCCGCGTCGCACACGCCCCTCCCCCCCTCAATCCGCGTCTCCCCAGCGCCATAAAAAAAAAAAAAAAAAAGTGGACCCCCGCGCCGTGGCTCTCTGCCCCGAGCCCCCCCCCCCGCGTCCCCAGCGCCCCAGCGGGAGCCCCGCCCATTGCCCCCTCCGCCACGAACGCTTTATTCAGCGTCGCACCCACCCCTTCCGCGTCCCCGGCGCCAGAGTGGGACCCCCGCGCCGTGATTCTCTGTCCCGAGCCCCCCCGCGTCCCCAGCGCCCCAGCGGGAGCCCCGCCCACTGCCCCCTCCGCCACGAACGCTTTATTCCGCGTCGCACCCCCCCCCCGCGTCCCCAGCGCCAGAGTGGGACCCCCGCGCCGTGGCTCTCTGCCCCGAGCCCCCCCGCGTCCCCAGCGCCCCAGTGGGGGCCCCGCCCACTGCCCCCTCCGCCACGAATGCTTTATCATCATACCTACCGGTGTGATCTCGCACTGCTTTATTTCGACCGTGCGCTCTGCTGGTGGTCCTGCTGATGGTCGTGCTGGTGGTCCTGCTGGTGGTTGTGCTGGTGGTTGTGCTGGTGGTTGTGCTGGTGGTCGTGCTCGTGGTTGTGCTTGTGGTCGTGCTGGTTCTTGTGCTGGTGGCCGTGCTGGTGGCTGGTCGTGCTGGTGGTCGTGCTGGTGGTCGTGCTGGTCGTCGTGCTGGTGGATGTGCTGGTGGTCGTGCTGGTCGCTGGTAGTGGTTGTGCTGGTGGTTGTGCTGGTGGTCGTGCTGCTGGTTGTGC